TCTGTGCTCTGATGATATTTTCAAAGAAAGGAAGGTCCCTGGCTTCTCCACCTGGTCCCATGTCATCTTTTCATGAGAACAACTCTTCGAATCCACATGGTTATGGAGAGTGCTCACAGTAGTCACTCTTGTTCAGGGCATCCAGATCCCAGTCTTATCCAACCCAAACCCTCCTCTCAGAATCTGACTTTCTTGAATAAGGAAAACTGCCAACTTGAGAGCTGCCAGTAGCCATTTTCTTCTGTGTAGATTGAGAAAAAGAGAAAATGAGTTTGCTTTAAGAAGAATTGAATTACAGATAAGAGAGTCAAAGATGTTAGAATGAGGAAAGAGAGGATATTCTGGATTTCCTAGAGTTTGGGTCTCTTTGTCCATGAGTCTATCATTCCATCTGTATCCTTACCTTACCTTTAGAGTACATAACTAATGCCCCCTGGCTTAAGGTAGCTGGAACTGACTTCTGTTAATTATAATAATAATAAAAAAATACTTTAATGAGTGCAGTTTATTATGTATGAGTCATTGTACTTGTCATGTTCAAATGAGTTAGGAACTCATTTCCCGGCAAAGAAGGCAAAAATATACGTAGAGGAAAACAATTAGAAGACTTAAGTTCAAATCTTCCTCTAATAATCCCACACAGCATCACAGATCAATGATGTTAGTTCTTACAAGTGACTCATTTCCAATGGCCACTAGTTCCCTGACGCTGGGAAGGCTGGGAAGAGATTTCACTCTGTGCGTTTAACCATAAAATGGCCATGACTGTGAAACAGTAGGAGCAAAACATTCATTCTTTTGAGGCTTTTTCCAACATGAAACCCCCTGAAATTATTCTTGCAGTAATCATCCAGGTTAAATGTTTTCAAGAACATTCCATAAGAAGTACATGCTACTTTCTCATGTAATGAGTACTACTGAAAATTTTCAGTAAGTACAACAGATGCCAATTTGGACTAACTCTTCACAACACATCTTGCCTTTGCTTAAGAACATATAACCTTAGAACTGAACACACTAACTCTCCTATTTCTTGTAACAAACTTTAGCAAATATTGACAGTCAACTAAATGCCTGGTCTTGTGCTGGCTGATGTGACTTCAAAGAAGAAAAGATAGCTCCTCTTCTCTTAGACCTCAGCAGAGTCAAGGTGCTAACAGGATACACATTAGTGCACCTTGCTCAGACCAGTGCTGGATGGGAATGTGTTTAGGACAAAGTTAGTGATGTGTAGATCTGAGAGACAGGCAGAGATGTGATGGATAATGCCATGGAAAAAGTGATGAGGACAGTCAAAGGAACAAAGTAGAAGGGACAGGACAAAAAGGGAGAATGGAGCCTTTCTGGCAGAGAGAAAATGCTCCAGATCTGGGGTTGAAATCAGTGCCCAATGCCCAGGGACCTGCATTTCTATGTACAGTAAAACCCATTCTTCCCAAAGATCTTTGTAAACTGAGACTGACTCAAGAAAGAATAAAGGAACCAAAAGTGAGCTGCTAGCATAACTGTGGGACTCCAATATTTAAAAATTAGTCGCAAATGAGAACACAGGAATTCAATGTACATTGGAAGAAGAACCCCCGAGATGTACATAAAACAAATCATAGTGGAATAGAGACATCTTACCTGAGATAGTGAACTGATAAAGACAATTATAATAACTAAAATTTATCAAGTGATTGCTTAATGCCTGCTGGGCTGTGAGTCAAATGATTTGACTCACTTGGCTTATCACAACTATGTGAGGAAGGTTTTATTATTATCTTGCCTCCAAGAGGTCCCCCCTCTTCCCCACCTGTGCCCCTTTCCTATACTATCACATCTAGTATACAGTATATTTTATTTAAGCAGTATTATACTTACTTGTCTTTCCTTCTGATAGAATGGACTCTTGAAGGACAGGGGATTTTGTTTGTGTGCTTGTTTGTTTGTTTTTACTGCTGTATCCTGAGCACTAAGAAAACAGTGTAGGAACTGATTAATTATTGGTGAACAAATGAATGATCAAAGTGGAGGCACAGAATGGTTAATATCTTGCCCCAAAGCAAATAGCCAGACAGTGTCAGAAACTGGGATCATGGTGTCAAGAATAAGCAGACATTTAAGTGATGTGGTAGGCTCACAGAGAAAAATAACAAAATTAAATGATGAGATTATAGCATCAACCTGGTCCAAAAAGATTTAAAATTTCATTGATTCATTTGTTTATCCAACTATTCACTAAGTATTTGTTGGGCATCTACTATGCTCCCGGCAGTGATCCAGGCACAGAGGTAATAAAGGCCTCTTTGAGAAGGTGGTGTATGAATAAGAACCTGCAGAAAGAAACTCAAGAAAAAAAATAAGGTTCAAAATGAGGAAGAAAGACAGAGAAGCAGAGGTGGAGGGAGAGCCAGGAATGGGAGTAGAAAGTGGAAAGAAGCTCAGAGAGTATCTGAGGAGATGGCAGCTCTGCACAGGAAACCAGGAGAAAGGCCACCATGCTCTGGCAGGCAAAGTCTGACTGGAACTAGAGATAAGTGGTTTTAAAAAAGGTACAGAAAAGAATATAGGTCTTAAGCCAGGAGCTTCAAGTCAGAAAAGACTACTTCTGCTGGGACTTAGAGCAGCTGAGGGGGAAAAACATGGGGAGTTCTGTCAAAAGACAGAAGTGTGGGCAAGGGAAAGGGCTGGAGGTTACAAAAGAAGTTTGTTCACTCAAATCTGAGAGTGCCATGCACTGAACTGCAATGTGTGTGCACACAATGCGTCCAGCTCCAGCCGAGGAGTCTTTGGAGGTGGATGCAGGCTACTCAGAGAGCATCTCATATAAATGGTGTTTTGCCTAGGCTGTGAGCAGGCAAGTCGTCCCCAAACTTAAATGAATGTAAGGCTCATTTAGTGTTTATAAAAAATGCAATTGATCGACGCTCTTATTATGTCAAGGGTAAGACCAGGAATATGCATCTGTGAAGCCAGCAGTCCCCAAATAGCCTACACCTGGAGAAATGTGGAAGAAGTCATACTAAGGGGCTTCAAAAATCCATGAACCTTCAAAATGGAATGAAAAACATTATGTGTGTGTATGTGTACATTTCTTTTCTTAGAGAGGGCCCATATTGTTACATGAGCTCAAAAACAGGAATCACGGATCTTGGGCTGCCCCTTGTCTTAAGAGAGTACTAAAGAGTCCCGGAACACAAGTGACTTCCTGCTCTACAAATATGGAAGAGTCAGGCTCTCAGGTCATGCTTTTTCTTTCCAAGCCCCTTGCTCTCTTCTCCCTAACTTGCTGACTAAGGGGCAGGGGAGAGAAGGACAGGTGGGACTTAAGGAGGTCAAATCATCAAAGGTGTGCTCTCACCCACTTTGGCCCCAGGTGGGACAGATCTGCAGAGGGGAGAGCAGAATGATCACTTCAACAAAGTGATCATTCACCTGTCTGCCACCCCTCAACCTGTGGGGTCCTGTCCAATGTGACTGAAAACCATGACAGAGGGCACACTTGCCATCGTTGGACACACAGTGGTGACAGTAACAGTCTTGTGAAGATTACATCCCTCTACCTGCACAGGTGTGTACTTCTAGGCTTCCCCAGGTGCTCTCAGTGTCCCACCCATTTTCTCTGGCTCCTTATCCCTGCTCACACTATGGTTCTTCTTGGGTCCCCCTACTGGTGCAAACACTATGTCACAAACCCAAGTTGGTCTTTCAAATTTACTGTGTCCTGGCCCTTGTTTTTGGCCCAAGCCTTCACTCTGACGTCCACCTCTGCTCCTGATTTTACCAGTCTTGCTTATATTCCTCTTCAGAAATAAGTTTCCAACCTAGATCTTCTGCCTCTTTTCCTGTAACAAGGGCCCCTCCAATCCTGAACCTACAACGACACCCTAACCTCCTTCACCCGATGGCTGGTGCAACCTGCTGTTCCGTGGTTCAGAAACTGACCACCATTCTGCAAGACAGCCACCTTGTAAAGTTAACATAATACTTTTCAGCCTTCCTGCTGCAAGCCTGCAGCAGCACGTCCAGGACCTGGCTGGAAAGATCACAGGTGGGCCTGATCACCTACTATGATTCCCAGTTACCCCAGCCTATTTCAGTCTTGTTTCCCCTCTGCTTGCCAAGTGCCTTTCTCATCTGTCCTTTTCTTATTCTTTCTTTTCTTTTCATCCTTCCCCCACATTTTATTTAGGTCTTCCTGGTCTTCCCTGGAATCTCTGCCCAACAGAAATACCCGGGAATAAAAAGGCATCTGAACCTTTTGTGTTGGCTAATGCCACCTTTGCTTTGATGCCTGGTTGATTTAGAGGCAGATGTCCAGGAAGGCTGGACAGTAGGATCCGCCCCGCAGAGCTAGCCAGAGGCAGAGAGAGAAGCCCTCCCTGTAATTTTTCCAGCAGCCTTCCTCAATCCATAGGTGGTGATAAGCCGCCATTTGAAAAGTTAGGGAGCGCTGAGCTAAGGGGAATTGCCCCAGGTCTCAAATTAAATCAGCGCAAGGTGGAGGTGAGTGCAGAACACGTCGCATGCACTGGCAACTGTCCAGACAGCTGTGTGGAGCTCCATCACAGCCACCTTCAAAGCTCTGACGAGGACCGGCACGCTATGAATACTCGGCAGCTACTAGAAAGTTTTATTACAGCTTCCTGTCAAATATTTCTCCTGGTAAGGAACTGCACAGTGAATTCCTTGTTGAGGGTTAATCATTTTCTCTCTTACCTATGACTGAGATCGTTTCTCAGGTTCTGTCCCTGGTTTCGCTTGTCTCACAGATTTCATTTGAAGGGCGGGGCATTCCCCCTACATTCCCCCACCCCACCTGGAGCCTGCAAGCAGGACCAATGAAAGCCTCGTAAGCCCAGTGACTAAGAACTCAAAAGTATTTAAGATTGGGCTCAGGAATGGGCTAAGAATTACTTTAGGTTTTTTCACAGGTAGCCAACATCTCATCTGATCTGGGGCCTCGCTGCGCTGCAGAGTGAAGGGGGAATTTACCTTTCTGACTCCCTGCCACCACCATGTGCTACGGCAGATGCGCGGGGTGCATCGGGCAGTCTCTGTTGTGGCTTGCCATCTTGTGCATCGTGGCTAATCTTTTGCTGTATTTTCCTAACGCGGAGACAATACATGCCACTGAACAACATCTCAGCCGGTTCGTGTGGTTTTTCTCTGGCATTTTTGGAGGAGGCTTGCTGGTAAGTCTTTCAGAATCATTACAATCTTGAAATGTCTCTCTAATTAAAATGTTTTCCTCGAGAGTTTTCTGTAATGCATACTTCAAATCCAGTGATTTTGTTGTTCATTCTTTTGAAAGCAGATTACGTAAAAACTGGCGTAGTCATGTTATTTTTATTAAATGCTATTTTATAAAGTCCTCTTTCAAGTAAAAGGGAACTACTGTTTTGCTCAATTCTCTTACTTTACAGCTACAGGTACTGGCTTTTAATTCTGATTGTGAGACCTCAGAGTTTCTAGTCTGGGCTCTCTAATCATTTTACATTTGCTCTGGGGAATGTTCTTTGTTTCTTCATTTAAGTCAACAGAATGTTGGATATAGATTCTATGCAGTTTATTCTCAGGTGTTTATGGAAGGAAAAAAATAAGGAATCTTGGGGCGTGGTGTCCAGGAAAACTCCTACAGTTAGCAACAGATCAGTATCTGAGGTAAATTGTGAAATGGGTTGTTTTTGTAAGATTTGTTTTAATTTGAAGTGAGGAATTTGCCTTGCTGACCTGGGAGTTGAAAGTACTAGCTTCTACCACAGCATGGAAAGAATGTGAACAAACTAGAATTTGCTACATTAACATGCCAGAATTGGGAATTTTAAAGAGAAATTTTATGGAAGTGCTAATACCACACAGAATATTTTTCTTAGTCAAGGATATCTACAACATTTACACCTAATATGCAAAATATGACTTGGTATGTCTTTAAAATTAAGCATTCTTGTTATGTTAGCATAATCTTTTGGTTCTAATGTAACATCACATCATTTTAAATTTCTCTGATCTTGAGCTCAAAGAATTTCAGATTTGCTGTACTTAAAGAGATTATGAATCTATAGTCAGGCAATTATATCTTCAATATTTCACACTCACTACACAGAATTTTCATAGTTCTTATTTGCCAAAGGTTATCCTGTTAAAGATTTGTTGTTATCATTATTTTTGTTATTTTCTCGCCTGGTCCATTATATTCCTGCTATGGGTGAAACCATCCGGTATTTTTCTTTCTCTTTCTGGCTTATCTCACGATTGGGATGGAAAAAAAAAAGTACAGAATGATGTAAAAATAAACTGTTATAAAAAAAATTTCTTATCTTCTGTTTTGCAAGGGAAAAAAAGTCAGAATTAAACTTGGTTTTATACTTCCAAAACAGATTTTGTATCTAGAGCTGTGTTATAGTCTCCTGCAGAATGAACACACTTTACAAGTTATTATTTCACCCATGGATACTATAACTATTCTCTTAACCTAAAGAATGCTTTGACACATTACATAAAAACAAGAAGTTATTATTATAGCTAGAGTATTTGTTTTTGTTTTTCTCCTCACAGTTAACATTACTTGAGACACCTGGTCAACCTCACCCAAAGTCAGTGAGCATTGCCAGAAATATGGAAAAGATGCTCAGACTGGGGAAAGACAATGACTTTCAAATGCTTGTTTCCTAACCAGATGTTGCTGCCTGCAATGTTCTTCATGGGAGTGGCTAATGAAAACTGCTGTAGCTGTGGGGGCAACAAAGAATGTGGCCAGAGCTGTGCGGTAGGTCCCCTTCCAGGGCAGACTGGTTCCTAAGACATGTCTGGGGAATTGTGTGGCTAACTTCCAATGTCTTTCCCTTCACTAGATGCTTTCTTCTGTACTGGTTGCACTCACAGGACTTGCAGGATCTGGCTACTGTGTCATCGTGTCAACCCTGGGCTTGCTGGAAGGACCATTATGTCGGGATTCCTATGGCCACTGGAGCTATATCTTTTCCAAAACCAACGGAGAGTAAGTAATTGTTCCCTATTAGGCTACACATTATTTTCCAATGTGTATGGATTGACAGCCCTATCAAACTAAAAAGATAGCAGTCATCCATTCATCCTTCCACTCAACAAGGTTTATTGGCATTGACTCAGGCTGTGGTGTCAGAGGATGCCAGTCCCTGACCTCTAGAAGCTCTTAGTGCTTTTTAATGGATTCACTGATTCAGTCTTAATGATAACTCTAGGTGGTTTCTGCTGCTGTTGCTCTCACTCTACAGATCAGGAAATCAGAGATGAAGTAACTTATTCCAAGTCACATTGCTAGAAATTTTGTTATCAGGAATAGAACACAGGCAACCTGGCTGCAGAGTTTGTATTCATACAATGTGTACCCTACACCATAACTATAGACTAAATTTACTGTTTTATATGAAAACATTATGGAATTCTTATGTAATAAGGATAAAAACATAAATACCTGATAGAAACTGATATATATATGATGAAATGAATGATACCCTTCTTTAAATTGTGGAAGGTTTTGCAATTCCTGTGAGAAAATAGTATGGATAATGAATTTGAATTGACTATACTGTTTAGAGTATTTGTCAGGTCACAATTCATGAACATAAAATTAGATAGATCTGACATGGGTTTGATTCCAGTTCCTTATTTGTTCTCTGTGTGGTCAGAAAAAGTGAATGGAGCCATCTGTACTCAGTTACTTCATCTGGTATATGAAAAATAGCTCTTTTACAGAAACTTATGCATAGTAGACACTGTGACTGTGAGCTGCTGATATTATTTACTAATTTACAACCCACTGGTAGGAGAAAAATTAGCACCTATATGAGTTAAAATTTTGGTCATCAAAATTGACTATGGTTCATCTTTGTTTCAGAATACAATGAATGTATTAGTACAAATTAGTATGCACACATATGCAAATTAGTGTGCATACACAATTCCACCTCTGAACAAGAAAATTATTAGTAAAACTGGAATGCGGGTAAGGTGAGATTTTAAATGTTTTCATAGCTGATAATATACCCTTCCTGTCATGATACTCCAGCTTCTGCAAGAAACTTTCCTCTTTATCATTCCTCATTTCAACCTGTCTAGAGATTTCAATATGGAGGAAAACTAATAGTCACAAACAGTAATTAGTTGCTGAATAGCCATGAAGGGTAATTAATTTATTTTGTCTTGAAATTTTAAATTTTTGTCTCATTGACATCTAGAAAGAAAAGGCCCAAGTACAAAATTTTTTGTAATCAATAAAATTAGCTTCTGAATGACTTAGTAAATCATTTCAAAGTCAGATCTCTAATCTCCAGCATAATTTTTTGCTGTAGTAGGAGGAAGAGATAAGGAAAGGTAGAATTAAGTCAATCCTTGATTTTCTTTCAAGATTGAACCCCATTTTATTAAGATTCCAAATTATTTTATCAAAAGCTAAATTCTAGTAGAATAATTAGAGGTGAAAATAGTTGAATGTTTAGAATATTTAGATATTCATGACATCTTTTAAGTCATATATATGATATATATATTATACAACTTATATAAAGGTCATATGTATATGTATATATAATCTTACATGTAAGGTCAGATGTGAAATCTTTTAAGTCATATATATGACATATATATTATACAACTTATATAAAGGTCATATGTATATGTATATAAAATCTTACATGTAAGGTCAGATATGACCTTAATATAGTTTCTGATCTCTCACAAACTGGCTTCAGGTTATTGTTTATGATTCAATTACTTTTAAAATGTGTTGAGTACCTATTATGTTTAAATTACTGGCTTAGGGACTGGAAATACTATTGATAAAGTTCCTATCTTCATGGAGTTCAGACTCATGGAATTGCTATATAAGCAAATATTTACCCTGGATTAAGTAACCTTTCATGCTTGGTTTACCCAATTAACATGCTTGTTGCATAGGTAGTGCTTATTTTCTCTTGCCTTAGACTGTATTGAATTCCAGAAGAGAGCCCACCTTTTCTTCGTTATAGTCCCAGTCCTGGCTCAGAGTCTAAATAACTTTGACTATTCAATAATCTTTTTTGAATGAGTGAGTACATGCTACTATAGGTACGTAGGCACAACATCATGAAAGTAAAAAAAAAAAAATCAAATTAATTGGAACTAATCTCTGTGCTTCATGTTGCATATTAATTCATTCCTTAAAAGCAGAAATAGTTTTCCTCATCAGGATCTCAATTAGGGAAACTTGCATATTAAATATCCAGGCTTGTCAATAATCAGATAATATTCAAAAAAAAGCTATTTGAATTTATTAAATGATCTGAACTGATATTCAAAAGTCCCAAAGAGTTAATACAAAGAATATATATTATCTAAATAATAAACACTCATCATTGGTTACAAAATCCTATCTTCCACACACATAACAAATAATAAACCAATTAGGAAACAGATTTTTAAAATCATCTAGAATTCCACTACCTTAAAAAATTTGCTTCAGTTTTCTATGTCCAACATCACTTACAATCAAGGAAATGAAAATCAGAACCACAATGAGATACCACCTTACACCAGCGAGAATGGCACATATTAAAAAATCAGTAAACAACAAATATTGGCAAGGATATGGAGAAAAAGCAACTAACTCTCCTACACTGCTGGTGGTAACGCAAACTGGTCCAACCACCATAGAAAGCTGTTTGGAGGCTCCTCAAACTGCTAAAAAATGGAGCTTTCATTTGATCCAGCATTCCATCCCTAATAAAGGACACCCCTACCCAAAGGGCACAAAAATATTAATTCAAAAAGATACCTGCATCCCTATGTTTATTGTGGCACTATTTACAATAGGCGAGATAGAGAAACAACTGAAATGCCCAAAAATAGATGACTGGATCAAGAAAATGTGACATATATACAGATTGTAATACAATTCAGCAATCAAAAAAGATAAACTCGGGCCCTCCCTGGTGGCGCAGCGGGTTAAAGCACTGCACAAAGAAGCTAAAGCCACTTCCACATGAGTTCGATCCCCGCCTGCCCCGGAGGTGACCACATGGCGCGGCAGACATCTCCTGACCTCTCCTGACCCGCCCGCTGCTCCCCTCAGCAGTGTACTTCGTCAATCTGCCTGTTCTGCTCCCCACTTTGTCTCTGGTGAATTCTCTCACCCTCTGCATCTCTGGCCTGTACCCCAGTTCTGTATGAATAAATAAATAAATCTTTAAAAAAAAAATAAACTCATGCCATTTGCAGCAAAATGAATGGAGTTTGAAGGGCTTATGCTCAGTGAGGTAAGCAAGAAGGAAAAAGAAACATATTTCATTTATAAGAGAAATATAGGGAAACCAAATAAGAGATCAGAGGGAAAAATAATAACAATAATAATGAACTAGCAGGAACCATACATAAGAGATACTCTGTGAGGCATGGGGAGGAAAAGTGCTCAAAATATGGGCGAGAAGAGCACAGGGGACTATTGTGAAGTTTCACAGGTGAGCTGGTGGTGGGAATTTTATGGGGACTACACAGTGATAGTAAAAGATATAAATAAAAAGTAAATTATAAAAAAAATAATTTAACTTTCCATATCAGCTCTTAGTTTATGTCTATATACAAAAATGAAAGTTGCTTTGTTTTAAATGTAGCACAAATACAATTTTGTACTTTCAGTTATGTAGCATTTAGATAATATAAATGTTTCATTAGAACACAAAGATTTCTAACCATTCAATCCTAATTAAGAGTCAAAAATTACAAACTTTCATTTCTTATTTTTGTCATTATAAGATGTGAACTAAATTCCTTACATAATATAATGACTTGAATTAGGAGAATTTGATATAAGCCATTGAATTAATTTCTTTTTTCTTTAACAAAGAATTGTGACACACACAAAAAAATAGCTTATGAGACATCCATAGAAGTTATTTGTTGGTTTTGCTTTTGTTTTATGCATAGATACATTACAGAGAGCTCCACATGGTCCCAGTGCCTTGAACCCAAGAATGTTGTAGTTTGGAATGTCTCTCTATTTTCAATCCTCTTGGGACTTGGTGGACTTGAATTCATCCTGTGTTTCATTCAAGCAATAAATGGATTCATTGGAGGCATGATTGGCTGTTGCTGTGCTCACCGTCAACAGGTAGGAACCTGTATGAAAATATCACAGCCTGGCTCATGTGAATTGTTACCATAATGCACCACTGTTTTCATAATAGAGACAAAAGGCAAAATATGACAATGCTCAGACAACTCACATCATCATTGTAGCACATTCATAGCATTCACACCATGCTAAACCCATAATTCAGATGAGACTATGACTCAAATATTAAGCAATATGTCTAAGACCATATAGTCAGGAAGTAACAGGGTTCAAAGCCTTGGTCATTTTATGCCACAGCTCCTACTCTTAGCCTGTATGTAACAATAGCTGAGATTTCAATTCCTTCTTAATACAGAGTCACAAGAAAAAGCCCAAACAGCTAAACCAAGAATCACAAGTAACGTCTAAATAGCAGCTCATGAAAGAAAGACCTTTCACTGTGAACAAAAACCAGGATGCCCTTGATTCCTGGGATATGATTTTGGAGAAAAAAATATATACATTTATTATTAGCAGGTGAAGCTCTTGTTCTTATAACCTCCTAAAGACTATGTTAAATTGATGTTAGACTTCGGGACTTATTTTATGTCTTACACTAAAATAGGATTAAGTAAATAGAAATAGTTATGCTTTTCTAACCATTTAATCTTCTGCTTCAAGATCCTTTAATTTTTCCTTTAAAATAAGACAAAATCTTATGAAAAAACTAAAAACCTATTGTGACCAAAAAAGAATTTGCTTCATAAATGGAAACTATACTTTGAGGGGAAGTTAAAATAAAAATCTTGTTCTCCCTGTCAGGAAAGTACAGCAAGATTAATGATTTCCTTGGGAAGCTCCCAAATTTCCAGGCAAACAGTAAAGTGGAAAATTTTTCATTATATGTTGTTTGTAGGCAATAGATTTGGGGAGTAGAGAAGAATCCTTTGGGGATTATTATAAAATGACCTAGCTTTAACCTTGAATTTCATAGAAGGCACAGTTTGGATTGAGGCCCCACTGGGTTTCAGGGCTTGGTGTATCCTGGAGACAGCCATGATACATCAGTGACCCAAACTGCTGAACATCTGAGTTGGGTAATCACACTGGGTTTGCCATCTGAGCCATCGTAGATGTGCTTCCTTCCCTGGTCACCACTACCTTTATCTAGAGGGCAAAAGATGCTCCCAAAGGGCAAGGTTTTCAATGTGGAGGAATGATATCTGAATCAGTAGACTCGGTAGCATATTATTCAAAAGGGGGCTCACACTGAGGCAAGTCCTGGGTGAAACTCAGTAGCACTATTTCTTAAATCACTAGAGTAAAATCATACCCCAGACACAAAATCAGCCACGTGTAATCAGGCTGCAGTTTCCATGGGTCCTTTCTGAAGCTTTTGTCAGGGGGATGGTATGGAGTCTGGTTTATTTAGGAAACATTTGTGAGCACTGTTTAGTCCTCCATGTTATGGGACAAAGCTCTGTGAACTTGATGTCAACCAGCTTCATGTTGCCTTTAAACAGGAATTAAAATTACTGAAATGGCATCATTGTTTGCTTTGACTGATCATAACCTGTTGCATATTTCATTTTCTTTACAGCAATATAACTGCTAAAAGAACTACCCCAAGAGGGAACCATAATCTTCTTCTATTTCATTGTAATTTATATATTTTACTTGTGTTTATTTGTAGAACTTTCCAGTATCTCATAGGCTACATAGCCTGCATTTATAAATGTGTCTTCATACGATCATAGTTTGAACTTAGCAAACAAACATTCTTTTAGGAATGGGAAAATAAACAAAGTAATGACATAATTTACAGAGGGTCATCAGCATATGTAGGATAAACTTTGACCTGAATTAACATTTTGGAGGAACATTTCAAGGATAAATAGCACATTCCAATTCCTCTTGTACACATGTTGTGTGCAGTTGTCTGTTAAGCACGAGATTTCTAGTTGCTTTTTTTTTATGATTAAAAAAAAAACTATTTAAATCCAGGCAAACAATGTGGGTGTCCTGGAAGGGACAGAGGGTTGATGGGAGACCAGGATAGGAAGGGATAGGTAAACAGACCATGAAGGAAAAATATACAACAACCTAAGAAGATGTATTTTTTTTTTACTGTTTATATGGTATTTCCTATTTTCCTATTCATGTTTCTTTTTGAAAGACTTTTGGAACTGTTTTGTATTCTTTAAAAGGCAGGCACTTGCCTGAAGTGGGGGAATGGATTGGGAATGCTCCAAGCCAAATGCATGAGTCAGAACATGTGGTGTTGTGGGTACCACCAGATCCTAAATATTTCCAACACGTGGCCAGTTTTTTTCCCCCCCTCAAAGACAAGCACTAGAGATTATAAATTAAAGAAAGCCCTGAATAATTAGAAGAAAGATGGGGAAATGGATCAGCATCATGGGACAAAAGCAGGGAAGAAGAGGGATGACATAAGGAATGTCCCTAAAACTGGTTTGTTTAAAATACAACAAAATTAAGTATTCATTGCTATTTGTTAATTTCATTTTCCTTTCTTTAAAGCTTCTCCTTTATTCTCCCTAATTTTTGTTTTGCTTTTCTTTTCTTTCCTTGTTTCCAGTCAGTGTAGTTCCTATTGTTAAGAGGTTTGTGTCCTCTGGTTTCTTTAGTCCACTTTTTCTCCTCCTTTTTCCTCCTCTTCTACCCTTCTTGGGTCTCCACTCATTGTCTTTATTATGCCATCCCTAGGATCATCCCCCTAGTTAGCAAACTTTCCTTTCTGCTGGGTGCTCCAGACATCAAGCTCCTGGGAAAGGTAATGGACATTTTCTCGCTTGCTATTTATATCCACTGTGCAGAATTAGGCTCGATGAAGGAACAGAATCCCTGATCTATTGTCTATAGCCGTTCTATTTTTGGTGTTTATTGGCATAGGCAACAGATGGGAAAGTCAGTAAAAAAAGCTTTATTGACTCTCCTGCGTCAGAGTTCTTCCTGCACTCTGATGCCCTACAGGGCTCTAACCTTTCATGAGCCTTGGACCCTCTAGCAATCTGGCAATGTGGGCAGTCTCTTTGGGATGTAAATATGCACAGCAAAGTACAGTTGACCTCTGAACAACACAGGTTTAAACTGCATAGGTGCATGTAATGGCAATTTTTTCTCTCTCCCCCCTTTCCACATTCAGGAATCCCCTGACGCAATACCTTGTGCATGAAGGGCATACTTTAAGTCATCCCATTTTTCCTGGGGGTGGGGGTAGGGAAGAGAAGAAAAGGGAAAAGCAACACACTTAGCACCTGAGTTGTTTATGAGTCAAGTGTATATAGGATTACAAAGTAAGCCAATGTGTTAAAATTTTTGATCAAAATATATTTTTAGTTATATAACAGTTATCTTGATAGCCAGTCTATTAGATCAATGTCTTCAAACGAGAATACAGCTAGTGCATGTGATCTAAAAGCAATTCAATGAGTGGATCTAAAAATGAATGTATTTTGAAATATGATTCCAATTAAAATTATATTTTGAGATGATTATATGTGATATAAAAATGTATATAATGTTAACACTTGATCACTTAATAACTATTATTGCTGATACTAGCTGAAATTTGTTGCATGTACTTGTAATAAAGGAAACTTTAAATTTTTTTAGTGGTTAATCAAAACAATGACCATTTTCCCCCACCTTTCTCATCTTCCTTCTAAAAGATCTACCCATTCACCTCCTGGTGTTCTTGGATACCCTTGCAAAAGAGAATTCAAAAATGAAGCATAATGATGAGTTGTGAGCACAATTTTTTGTCCTAAATCTATCTTCTAATGAAATGGCGATGACAATTAACTGTGCAGTAATAATTGTAATTTTTTATTGAGTTCCTGCAATGTTTCAATTATTCTACTTTCTACACATAATTTCTAACTGAAATATTTCAACATAAATAAAACTCAGTGAAGTCTATGGTCACATTTTTAGCAAGTTAAAAAAAATGTGGTTCAAGTCTAATTTGCCTGACATGAAAATCCTTGCCTTCCCTCTCCCCTTCCAAGCTCAATCCACCTTCTCTGCCCTTTCCCAGTGGGCTAGAGTCTTGTGTCCTCCCACACTGGAACTCAATCTCTCTATCTGCCTAGCAGGCCATTGGGATTGTTAAACATCCCATTCCTAGAGGAAAGATTTGAGTGACCTAAAGTTTCTCCTGCCTTGTTAATTCATTAAAAACAGACATTGGTCATTGCATGGGGGAAATAACTTACTAAATTATTCTCTATCCTTGTTGGACTTTTTTTTTTTTAATTTTTTAAAATATATTCATTATACCACCCTTCATTTTTGTACAATGTATGGTTTCCCCTGAAATTCCCACCCCCGAATCCCTCATGCACATCACCATAGTCCCTTGTGCTCTTCCCACCCCTGTCTGGTCCTTCTCCCCCTTCCTCACCTATAGAATGTCTCTGATCTGTGGTTGCCTGATGATTTTGATTTTGATATTATTATAGTTACTTTTTTTTTCTGATTCCTATTTGTTTTCTCTGTATTCCATCCTTAAGTGACTTCTAATTTATTTCTACGTATAGCTCACACTCTGGTTCTTTAATATCCTAAACCCCTCAATGTGGCTGAACATTTCTTTGGGGATTGTATCAAAACAGTTAATCATCACCTGCTGTCATAAAAACAATGAGGATTACTATGGAATCTAAATCGCCTAAACAGCCTAAACAGGTCTAAAAGTGAAATCATTTCCTCTGTATATCAATTAACCTTAGTTATCAAACTTACAAATAACCACCAGTATAAAGGAAATCTTTTAAATTGAAATCTAAGGAAATTGATGTAATATTACATTCATTACAATTTGTTTCCTTTACATGTGTGATAGCTGCTTAATTCCATTTTTTTTTTTGATGTTTATATACCACAGTGGATATAGGTATGTGATTTAGGGCAAGTTGTCAGAAAAACAAAAATTTATTAAGTCCTCTTGGACTTTATAACTTGGTATTTTTCTTCTAGAATTTTTTTTAAAAGAGAATCTGGGAGTCTGAAACCGGGATGTTCAGTTTCTAAGGATATTACGGAAGTATTGTTTATACCAAGAAAAATAATCTAAATATCCAACAAGATATTGTCTGATAAAATATAGTCAGCAAAATATAATTAGACAATGTAATAATACATGTGTGTGTGAGAGAGAATATATATTTATAACACATGTGTACTGAAAATAATAATTTTGACTAGATTTTGGGTGGTTTTTGTCTTGATTCATTTTGCTTTCATTTATTTATTGAAATTTCTACAACAAACACATATTACTTTTAGAAAAGAAAGCAAAAATTAGAAAAGAAAGGTTCAGGTCTAAATATTATTCAGGGAGTTGTTTGCAATCTTTAAAGGAAACTCCCAAAGTTATGAGGGCACTATTGTTCTTGTGAATGAACAGGAGTCATTACAGTAAACACTAGAAAATAATTGTGCTTGCAATTAGATAAAGGGATGGGCCAGGTGACACAATAGTAACCACAAGGTAAAAATATTATGGGGAACGGCCCTCCCTGGTGGCACAGTGGGTTAAAGCACAACACTTAGAAGCTTAAGCCACTTCCACATGAGTTCGATTACTCATGGTGACCACATGGCTGGCAGACCTCTCCTGACCCGCCCGCTGCTCCCCTCAGCAGTGTACTTCGTTGATCTGCCTGTTCTGCTCCCCACTCTGTCTCTGTGAAGCCTCTTGCCACCCCTGAGCCTCTGGCCTGTATGCACAAATAAATAAATTCTGTATGCACAAATAAATAAATCTTTAAAAAAAATATTATGGGGAAGCCATAGTTCCTACTCTGTGTTTGGAAAATATCCGTACATGACATCTACTTAGTCTAGCCACTAAATGTGGTTTTCATAAGGATCAACTATGCATCCATAGTTCCATTTTAAAAATGAAAAGTAGTGATTAGTTTTTACTTTGACCATTGCTTTATTGGGACTTTTTTTAAAGCAGAACCCAAATATTTTCATTTACTTTTCTGAGTTGAAAGGAGGGTTAACAACTACATGGGCTTCTATGACTTTACCTAGTCTGATTTGAGGATGTAATCCAATCCATTTTAACAAGTTTTAAAATTCAGTCATCCATCCTGAGCTAGTACAAATTGTTCTTCTTTCTTTTATAAAATGAGATGCTTTGGGATGTGTGTGTCTTTGTCAACTTTTATTCTAATTTTTAAAATTTTCTTACTTCATCATTCATTTTTGTTCATCATTCAATGACTGTTTTACTTTGACAATACTTGATTTTTCCCCCCACCCCCATAACCCCATCACCCATGAACTGTTACCAATTCCTGGAGACATGAACCAGGGTTCCTTTTGCACTTCCCTCCCTGTTTTGACAGTTCTCCTTCTCCCTCCTCTACGGAATGCCTCAGTTCTATGGTCAGCCTGCTAGTTTTGTGTTTTTCTAGAACCTTGTTCCAGATCTTTAAGGTAAGCCTTCTAGCTCTGCACCGTTAAGAATGCTGTAAGTTGTGGGTTTGTCCTACATGGCCCTTATGATGTTAAGGTATGTTCCCTCAATGCCAAGAATTTTGAGGACCTTCATCATAAATGGATAGTGAACTTTATCAAAGTTGTTCTTAGCATCTATAGATATGATCATATTTTTCTTTTTTTTTGATGTATTGAATTATATTAATAGATTTTCAAATGTTAAATCATGCTGTGTCCCTGGGTTAAATCCCATTTGGTCAGGGTGTATTAACCTATGGAT